TAATATTTGATAAAAGAAAAGAAACCACCTCCCCATTCTCTATCTAACTCATCAAAGATATTTTTGAACCCAATGTTAATCAGCCTGGGGATCGGCTGCTAAGCAACCAGGACACATCAATTCACAAACAGCCTACCACCCCAACAAACCTTCGTTTCGCCTACAACCCCCCCCCCCAGCACCTTCTTTACCCACTTCATCAAGTATATTCATTCATTACTCACCTCATCACATACATTCATTCATTACTCACCTCACATACATTCATTCTTTACCTAATTCATCACATACATTCATTCTTTACCATCAAATATATTCATTCATTACCTACCTCATCACATACATTCATTCATTACCTACCTCATCAAATATATTTGTGAACCCAAAGTCAATGAGCTTAGGTATCTGCTGCTTGGCGTCCAGGATTATATTCGCAGGCTTTATATCGCGATGTGTGATGGAGTTCTTGTGTAGGTAGTCTATGCCCGACACAATCTGTCGGAAGAAGAACGCCGCCTTCCTCTCAGGCACGTATCTGTGCTTCTGTGCGTATGTGTAGGACTCGAGGTCACCGCCACTCATGTGCTGTAAGGGTGGTTGCGGAGAGAGGTAGGGAGTGTGTTTATGGGGGGGGATAGTGGGTGTGTGGGTGTGTATCTGGTGTGTATACGAATACGTATGCATGTACTTTATAACTGTATATACGTAGACATGTACTTTATAACTTTATATACGTATGCATATACTTTATAACTTTATATACGTATGCAACTACTTTATAACTTTATATACGTATGCATAACTATTCAGTATATTCGCACATTTAATCTTTAGATGGATACTGTATATTTAAAGTATATATTGAAATACTACAACACTAGAAGACAGTGAAATCTTCTTGAAACGAATACATCCACATTCAAAGACACAACCTACACACAAGACATGCACACAATCCACACAATGCATACACGAACCTGTATATACAAATTGTTTGTATGTACATATGTTTGCTTGTATATGCATATGTTTGTTTTGTTTGTTTGTTTGTTTGTTTGTTT